ACATTTTCAAATAAATGGTAACAAAAATACAAACTATAAAAAATTGTGGGACACAATTAAAGCAATGCTAACAAAAATAGACACCTTTAAATACTTATATTAGGGGGAAAAGACAGAAAATCAATCATCTAAGCTTCTACCTAAGTAAGAGAAAATTAAACACAAAGTAAGCAGAACAAAGAAAGACAATCAGGAATCAATGAAATATAACAGAAAAACAATACTGAAAAAAGAAAAAATCCATGGAACAAAGATTTTTGCAAAGATCAATACAACTGATAAACCTTTAGCCAGGCTGATCAAAAACAAAAATATCAGGAACAAAAGAGGGTATAATTCATTACCAGTTCTAGAGTTATTAAAAGGAAAATAGAGTTATAACAGAAAACAGCAAATCTGAAAATTATTGTTGGGGAATGCCATTGAAAAGAACACTTGCACAGTATGTGTGACTAAGCCCAGTTAAGGCCTCTTTATAAACTTGTAAGATTTGGCAGATGGGTTCAGGGATCCATCCATTTATCTTGCTGCCGCCCAAAACAAGCCTCATCCGTAAGATTCCTTTGCTCATTAAAAGTGCCATCTACCAACCTGGAGTGGGCCAGCCCCTTTCACTGGTCTCTCCCTGTGTTCTGAATACAGGGAACAGTTTCAGATTTGCTCTTGCAAAGGCACAACTGGGGGGCGGGGGGGGGGGGGGGAGGACAGCAAGCCACAGACAGTGAGAAAGTATTTCCAAAACATGTATCTGACAAAGGGCTTCCTCCAGAATATGTGAATAGCCCATACAACTCTATTAAAACAAAAAAAGAAGTTAAAAATGAGCAAAAGAAGGGCGCCTGGGTGGCTCAGTTGGTTAAGCGTCCACCTTCGGCTCGGGTCATGATCCCAGTATCCCAGGATCGAACCCTGCATCGGGCTCCCCGCTTGGTGGGAAGCCTGCTTCTCCCTCTCCCACTCCCCCTGCTTGTGTTCCCTCTCATTTCTTTGTAGTCAAATTCATCAGTCTTTTCCTATTTTGAGTTCTAGGACAGGCTTTTTCCTTGTCCCAGGTGTTAGAAAAATTCACCCACATACTCTTTTAGTACTTGATTTTTTTTTATTTTTAATTTTTTAATTTAAATCTCTGATCCATTTGAGATTTAATTTATCCTTGATTTACAGTGTGAGGAACATTTAAGTTTATCTTTTTCCTTATGGCTAATTATCCCAATACAATGTATTCTTAAAAAATCTATCTTTTCCTCCACTAATTTGAGATGTTGTCTTAATACGCTAAATTTTCACGTGCAGTTTTGTCCACTTATGGGTTTTCTGGTCTATTTTGTTAGTCTGTTTATGAACTAATTACCATACTATTTTATTTACAGAGATTTTATGATATATTTTAATATGTGGCAGCACTCTGGTACCCTTTTCCATATTTATAAAAATAAAATAAAATCTTTAAAAAAAAAACAAGATGAAAAACCACCACTTACCTACTAGAATGCCTAAAGTTAAGAGATTGACAATACCAGGTACTAGCCAAGAGGTAGAACTGGGAAATCAAACGTTGCTAGCTGGAATGTAAAATGGTACAGCCACTTTGGAAAACAGTTTGGCAATTAAACCTACAACTGCAATGTGACCCAGTATTTCCAAATCCTAGGTACATATACCAAGAAAAATGAAAGCCTATGTCCACACAAAGACAAATAATGTTCACAGAATTTCATTTATATTTACCTAAAGCTGGACACAACAGAAATGTCTAGCAAATGATAAATGGAATAACTGTGGAAGAATCATTCTATGAAATACTACTTAAAGATTAAAAAGAACACAATACTGATACACACAACATGAATGAGTCTTAAAACTAGCACGCTAAATGAAAAACATCAAAAACAAAAGAATACACGCTGCTTGGATCCAGTTTTGAGGCATTCCAGAAAAGGCAAAACTAGAGATATAGAAAGCAAATAACTAACAGCCAGGGATCACGGGTCAAGCAAGAATGGGCATCAACTGTAAAAGGGGCACAAGGGAACACTGAATGACGGAAACATTCTGTATCTTAATTGTCGTAATGGTTACACAACCTCATATAAACTGTTGAAACACAGCAAGCTTATACGCTTAAAATAATGTAAACTATACCTCAAAAAAGCCGGTGCAAAAAAAAATCTGGTATTTTTGTGGAGCTAAACAATTAATTAATCTGGAAAAACAACCAAGAAAGGACAGTCAAGGAAATCCTAAAAACAAGAACAATGAGAAAGGGTACCAGAGTGCTACCACATATTAAAATATATCATAAAATTTCTGTAAATAGTATGGTAATTAGTTCATAAACAGACTAATAAAATAGACCAGAAAACCCATAAGCGGACAAAACTGCACGTGAAAATTTAGCATATTAAGACATCTCAAATTAGTGGAGGAAAAGATAGATTTTTTAACAATACACTGTGTTGGGATAATTAACCATAAGGAAAAAGATAAACTTAAATGTTCCTCACACTACAAATCAAGGATAAATTAAATCTCAAATGGATCAGAGATTTAAATTAAAAAATAAAAATAAAAAACATTTAAGTACTAAAAGAGTATGTGGGTGAATTTTTCTAACACCTGGGAACAAGGAAAAAAACGTGTCGTAGAACTCAAAATAGGAAAAGACTGATGAATTTGACTACAAAGAAATAAAAGACTTCCACATGGGCAAAACAAATACACAAAAGCAAAGCAGAACAAATGGCAAACTGCAACTTGTTGTATTGCAGATAAAGGATAAATACTTCCTACAAAATACAGGTATATAAAACAGAAAAATAAAACAATGGCCCACCCAATAATAGAAAATTAGGCAAGAGGTATGAACAAATATTTCAAAGAAAAAGAAATAGTCTTTAAACTTCAATTTCAAAAAACTCAACCTTGCTAACAATTAAGAAAATGCAAATTAAAACAACAATAAACACCATTTCTCACCTATCAGATACAAAAAGCCTGCTGACATAAACTTTCTTGGTTAAGACCAAGGGGAAATCAGCACTCCCAAAGGAGCTGTATTTAACACTTACCCTATAAAGGATCCCACCTATACACCAAAGAATCACTAACAAAAATATGAAAAGACACTTTTACTACTATTACAGTACTATCTGTAAAGGCAAATAATGAAGCAACTGGTTTGAATAAACTATGGAATAAATCTTCATAACCTTGCGTTAGGCAAAGATTTCTTATGTGCAACACTAAAAGCACAATAAAAGAAAAAGTTGAGAAAAATGGACAGCATCAAATTCACATTTTTTGCACATCAAAATATACTACTAAGAAAGTTAAAATACAAGCCACATACTCTGAAAACATATTTGCAAATTACGTATAAGAGATTGTATCCAGAATGTATAAAGAACTCTGACAAGTTATTTAAAAAAAAAAAAAAAAAAAATATATATATATATATATAAAATGGTCACAGGGTTTGCACAGGCATTTCACGGAAGAAAATAGCCAATATGTTCATAAGAAGATGCTAAACATCATCAGTCATTTGAAAAATGGGACATAAAAACCGTAATAAGATGCTACTTCACACCCACTAGGGTGGCTACACTCAAAAACTGAATAATTACAAGTGCTGACAAGACATGGAGAAACTGAAACCCTCCTACATTGCTGGCGAGAATGTAAAACATTATAGCCACTCTGGGAAACAGTTTCCTAAAATGTTAAACATAGATTTACCTGACAACTCAGCATTTCCACTCCTGGCCATCTACCCCAAAGAACTGAAAATCTATGTCCACACAAAACTTGTACAACACAAATGTTCATGGCAGCATTACTCGCAATGGCCAAAAAGTGACAACAACTAAAATGCCCAACAACTAATGAATGAATACAATGTGGTATATCCATACAATGGAACATTAGATAATAAAAAAAAAATTTTAATACATGCTACAAATGGATCAACCTTGAAAACATATGCTAAGTGAAAGAAGTCAGTCACAAAAAAAAAAAAAAAAACGATTCCATGTATATGAAATATCCAGAAAATACAAATACACAGAGACAGAAAGTACCTGCCAGAGGTTGGGCATGAGGTTTCATTATGGGGAGATGAACATGTCCTAGAATAAGACTGTGGTTATGGTTGTACAACTCTGAAAATTTACTAAAAGTCACTGAACTGCATAGTTAAAACAGTTGAATTTTATGCTATGTAAAAATTATACTTCAACAAGCTTTTAAAAGTAAAAAGCCACAGACTGGAAAAGATATTTTCAATACATTTTTTAAATTACCGAAATATATTGTTAAAACTTCTACAAATCGAAAAGAAAGATTAAAACTAGGTGATGGAAAAATAAAATATACCCTAAAAATCTAAAATGGCAATTTAGATAAAGAAATCCCACTCTTCAATAAACTTATGCTTAAAAATAAATATGACGTGAAGATTAACCTGCCCAGGTAACTTTATGAACTGCTTAAACTAAGAAAATGGATGACTCACAGTTCTTCATTTAGGCAGGTCTTTTAAGAAATGGTTAGGTTCAGCTGTCCTCAGAGCTCCAATTATAGACAGACTGTACTAAGAAAGATGTCTATTATAATTTTCCCATTGTTCCTTGCCTTTTCAGTCTTATACACCCATCTTATACATCCAATAAAAGCCTTCTTTTATTCCCAGGTAACAACTTAAGACAAAAAACAAACAAACAATCATTTTGTTGCCGTTTGGTTTTACTTGCTTTTAAATTCTTACACTTAGGATCATCTTTGGCCAATAAACTGTGTCAGAGTAATCTCTCTCTTTTAATAAAATACAAGGTGGTTCATACAAGATAATACAAAGAACATTTTCCTTTCCAAACCTCTTTCCTTATAGTGTTTTTAAAGTAATTTACAAAACAAAAAAAGGAAACAATTCATTTTGAGCATAGCCAGTAGTAATTGGCCCAAAAAATAAACAGGAAAGAGACATGCAAATGTTCACTAACCTTCCAGTAGTCAGATTGTAAACTGTAGTACCTCTGGTATGCAGATAACGCTGAAAGAGGGAAAATAAGTATGAGTCGCAACTACGTCCCATTTCAAAATCAATAATCCAAGTTTTAAGAAATATCACAAGCTTCCCATCATACCCACCACCATCCAACAGAGAGTGATGTTTAAGACCAAACAATTTAGACATCTGGGCCCTCCCCCTCCTCATCATAGTCAGACACAGTAACAAATATCAAATATACAGGAGTTCAAAAATGTAAAACTGTTCATATCTCAGACCTAATCTTTAACAGATCTAGGCTACCTCTTGAATCAACATGACCTTCCTCACAGACCAAATCTGATAAAAGGATTAAGATTTTCCAACTCTACTTCAGAATGTGATGAGTTATTTGTTCCCACAAGGGATCTCACTTCTAAGAATGACCAAGAGCTCAACCACCTCAAAGAGCAAAATGAGTATTTCTTTTGTGATGTTTCCTTTCATATAATCAATAACAACAAAAAAATCCAGCCCACAATTAACTTACTCCAACTCAATTCCAAAATAGGGCATCCCATACCCCTAAAATATACCACGAGGCATAAAAGGCTGTGAAAAAAATTATAGTTCCAGTCAATCCGAAAACTCAGTGAGGAGGTTAAAAAACAAAGTAAACTAAAAATTATATATACACATTAGAATTGGTAGAGAGAGTCCTTTTTAAAAAACTGTTGAGCAATAAATAAGTCATGGGGATGTAATGTACAGTATAGTGACTGCAGTTAATAATACTGTATTGCATATTTGAAAGTTGCTGAGAGTAGATCTTAAAAGTTCTAATCACAAGAAAAAAAATTTTTTAACTATGTATGGTGATGGATGTTAACTAGACTTATTGTGCTCATTCTGCAATATATACATTGAATCATTATATTATACAACACCTAAAACTAATGTTATATATCAAGTATACCTCAATTTAAAAAAAGACTTAGATATTTCAAATAAAGATTTAGTAAGTGTAAAATTTTATAATGATAAAAATGGGGGGAAATGCAAATTAGCATTTTCTAGAACTGCATGTGTAATGCTTTCATAGTGTTTATTAGTAAACAGCCAAAATATATGTGAATACAATGCAGAAAACTTTGTAAACATGTTCAAATTAGAGAAGCATTACCCAAAAACATCATCATATATCTGAACAACTTATTTAAATAATGTTCATCTTTTTTGGCATAAAGATGATGCCAACCAACATTTAGAAATATGTCCAGTTCTAGTGAAAAGTTGATTGCAAACCATCCTGCATTTTCTACTTCTTCACACATGATTGTTGCTAGCTCATAAAGGTCACTGATTAATGGTCTTCTAAAAAGAAAAGCAATCCAACTTACCATTCTAGCTGGAAGAGAAGAGTCAAACAAGGTTTGTGTCCAGAAATCATCACTGATTTATAAATGACAGTCATGGGAAAGGGATTCTACCCCTACTGCTGGATGGGAAAACAAAGAAACCTATATATCACTAAATGCCACAACAAAGGAACTATTCTTAGTATGAAGCCCATAGAAGAGAGCAGAGGAAACAAATGGAAAGTAGCTGGATACTTCTAGACCTCAAACTTGGCCCAGTATACAACTCACCTATGAACTTCCAGTTATGGGAGGCAACCAATTTGCTTATTATTTTAGCTAGAATCAGGTCTTTGCTTTTGTACCTAAAATCATCCTAACCAATAGAAGTCAGGGTCCCTAACAATTTGGTGCACTCACCATATTAAATCTAGACTGCCCTTTCAATGATGTTCTAGGATTCCAACAACCTTGGAAGGCATGTTTCTAATAACCTAATAATATATATTATATGACTTCATAAAATTCCCATTTTAGAATTGGGAGGAGCCCTTAAAGAGATAGTATGGTGTCCTCCAAAGTAAATGAAACATGAGGTCCAAGAAGCCTATGTGACTATCAGCTGGGAGAAAGATGGCATCCGTACTACTATATGGTGAACCAAGAAATAAATATGAAACCTCAAATTCAAAGTCAAAAAAGTAAATGCTCCAAAGTTCAAGTACAGATTTGTAAGTGAGACATTCCTTCCATGAGCATTTGATACCTTTCCAATTATACTTTACCCCATTAGGCCTAGCATCCTATTTTAAGAAAAGATCTTAACATATTTTATGATTCCTAATCCAAATAAATCATTAAAACTCTAAAGATTATACAAGTACCCATCACCAGAGTCTCTCTAGTGAAATCCTTCTAACCAAAGCAAAGTTATCATTTCAAATCTCTAAGCCAGTTACGTATCCATGAAAAAGAATTCCCAGTCCACTGTAACTAGACTTTTCTAAAGTCCTTAACAGACAATAAGGGAAATCATTTGTTGGGACATCCTTATAATGCTTAAAACCTTTTTCACAATGACTGTAGCATATTATCTTACTAGGCTCTTCCTTCCCTAAATCATCTAATCTTCACTTTGTGATCCCTGAGTTCTCTATCAGTTCAAGAAGTCCTTCTTCATCCCACTAGGAAATCTTTTTAACAATACTTCAGGCAAGACTGTCATTTTCTTTTGCCACTTATTCTTTTGCTTAACAAAGAATGGTGTGCCCAAACATACTAATATCCACTCTCTATCAACCAGTTTCAAAAGCTCAGATCTTTTTAATCCTGGGAAACAACTTTATTTATTAACAGACTTCAAATTATTTTTTCATAATTTTGAGATTTCATTTTTAAATAAGCCCATTTAGTCTTTTAGATTAAAAAAATAAAGATTATTATAACAACTTAAGTGTTCTATAATCTTTCTCACACAATCTCCTTTATTTTGCCCTTTACCTCATGAAGATAGAAGAGGAGGAAACAAACAAGGAAATTATCAAGGATAAAAGAATCACCCATACAGAAGGGAGAGGGTACTACACATAGTCATCTGTCCTTTAACTTCATAATCGTGCTATACAACTCTTCATATATGAAAATGATAAAATTAAATAATGGTTAATACTCAGTTATGATAAGGAAGGGAAATAGACAAAAGTGGCAAAAATTTAAGGAAATAGGCAGTTTTATCATTCTACTAGTGCTATAAGTATAAATTAGTAAAACTTTTTTGTAGCATAATTTAGCACTGTCAAAAGTTTTAATACAGTTAACCCTTGCACAACACAGTAGAAAATTCACACATAACTTTCAACTCCCCAAAAACTTGCCTACTAGCCTACTGTTGACCTAAAGCTTTACTCACAACAAGAACAGTCAATTAACACATATTTTGTATGTTACATGTATTATATACTATGTTCTTATAATAAAGTAAGCCAGAAAAAATAAAATGTTAAGAAAATTCTAAGAGAAAATACATTTACAGTACTGTACTGTATTTACTGAAAAAGTTCCACATATAAGTGGACCTTTGCAGTTAAAACCCATGTTGTTCAAGGATTAACTATACACACACACACACACACACACACACACACACACACACACATTTTCGCTCTGTAAGCCTACCACATCAAGGGTATTCCTTCTAAAAACATAAACATGGATGTGTGCAAAGATTTAGCTACAAGAATGGACAATATAGTGATTATGTTAGTACCAAAAAAGGAGAGAAATAGTCTACACATCCAACAGAGAATTCTTCTACCTATAAAATAGATACTATATAGGAAATTGAAATGTTACGACGTGTGTTTCTCAGATGGAGAAATTAACATGATACACCAGGTTAAAGAAAGTTGCAGAGTTTAACTCAATTTTCAAATGTTGAAAATTTATTGTAATAGAAAAGTCTCCAAAGATCTGCATCAGAAATGTTTAAAAACAAGTGCCTCTCGATGATAAAATACCAATGGGTCATTAATGCATTCACGTAATATTTCTTAAGTATTAAGTGGCTAGCACCAAGCTAGATACAGTGAAATAGAGATGTGAACAAACATATGGCTCCTGCTCTCAGGCTGTTTACCTTTTATGGTTATTTATCTTCTAATATTTTTCTTTAAACAGTGAACATATTATTCATATAAATGTTAAAATAAGTGTACTTATGTTAAAATTAGGAAATGGTCAACATTATCAAATGAGAGCCCCCAGGAAGGCAACAGGATATAGTGGGAAAAGTAGCAGCTTTAGGTAAACCTGCGTTCTCACCACTTCCTAAAAGACTGTGACATTAAGCCATTTTTTTTCATCATGTTAAGTGTACTTGTTAATCCCTGTCACCTATTTCACCTATCCCCCACCCACCTGCCTTCTGGTCCCATCAGTTTGTTCTCTATAATTAAGAGTCTGTTTTTTGGTTAGCCTCTCTCTTTTTTTGTTCCCTTCACTCGTTTGTTTTGTTTCTTAAATTCCACATATGAATGGAATCATATGGTATTTGTCTTTCACTTTTTTTGCTTAGCATTATATGCCTTAGTTCTACCCATGCTGTTGCAAATGGCAGGATTTCGTTCATTTTCATGGCTGAATAATATTTCATTGTCTATAGATAACACATCTTCTTTATCCATTCATCTATTGATGGACACTTGGGCTGCTTCCATAGTTTGGCTATTATAAATATAGTTTGGCTATTGTACATAAGGTTGCAATAAACATGGGGATGCATGTATATCCCTTTGAATTAGTGTTTTTATATTTTAGGAGTAAATACCCAGTAGTGCAATTGCTGGATCATAGGACAGTTCTATTTTTAACTTTTTAAGGAAGCTCCATACTGTTTTCTAGAGTTGCTGCACCAGTTTGCATTCCCACCAACAATGCACAAGGGTTCCTTTTTCTCCACCATCCTCGCCAACACATTATTTCTTGTGTTGTTGATTTTGGCCATTCTGACAGGTGTGAGGTGGTATCTCATTGGGGTTCTGATTTGCATTTCCCTGATGATACGTAGACATCAAGCCATTTAATTCAAGTTAATTCCTTATAGGTCACAAGCAGCCTAAAGAGTTTTTCAGTAAAATAAGGTGTAACTGAAGAATAAAAAAAGAAGTTCAAAGCCTTATTATAATTTGTTTGGAATTAAATAGAGAT